TTAATGATTATTCCATGTCGATTAGGACAACTATTGAACATCATGTTGCATATGTTCATACACAAAATGGTTTAGCTGAGTCGTTAATCAAACACCTTTAATTAATTGCAAGACCATTACTAAAGCATTCTAAACTTCCTATATTGACATGCGGCATGCAATTTTACATGCAACATCATTTATATGCATAATGACAACTTGTTATCATGAGTTCTCCCCTATTCAACTGGTTTGCGGTCAGTAACCAATTATTTACCATCCAAGGATGTTTGGATATATAATTTATGTACCCATTTCTCCACCTCACTTCACAAAAATGGGTCCTTGAGAAGAATGAGACTTTATGTTGGATATGAATCTCCATCTATAGTAAAATATTTAAAATCATCAATTGGAGATTTATTTACAGCTATATTTGATGATTACTATTTTGATGAATCATATTTTCCAACAATAGGGAGAGAAATAAAGAAGCTGGAAAATAAAATCTCTTGAAAGGAATTGTCACTTTTAGTTTTAGATCCTTGTTCAAGTCAATGTGAAGTTGAAATAAAAAAGATAATTCTTTTACAAAATGTAGCAAATCAATTGCCAGAAGCATTTACTTACCCTAAGTGGGTAATAAAGTCTTATGTACCAGCTATACTTACTCAAGTTAGAATTGATATCCCAGAAGGAAGAAAAAAAATACAACTGCAAATGAATCTTAGGCACACCTGAAGCATGGAAGACCAGCCGGTTTCAAAGATAAAAATCCTCGAAAATGAAATAAAGCAAATACAATTGATGGTCCAAAAAATAAAACAGAATCTCTTGAAAAGATTAATGAAGCTCTAGAAGAGCCTAATGACATAACAAAAGAAAATAAGGTACCTGAAAAAATGAAAATGATGAGATCTCAATAAATTATGTCATAACAAAAATAAGATGGAACCAAAATAAGATAGATGTTGACGATAATTTTTCATATCATGTTCGGCGCGCGATTATAAAGAAAATGGGGATCTTGAACCTAAATCTATTGAGTAATGTATGAATAGAAAATATTGGCCAAAATGGAAAGATGAAATAAATAAAGAGCTTAATTCTATTACTCAACGAAAAGTTTTTGGACCTGTAGTCCGTACACCAAACAGAGTAAGAACAGTGGGACACGAATGGGTATTCGTGCGCAAAAGAAACGAGAAAAATAAAGTTGTGAGATATAAAGCAATACTTGTTGCACAAGGTTTTACCCAAAGACCCGAAATTGATTATAAAGAAACGTATTCTCCGGTAGTTGATGCAATTACATTCAGTTATTTTATAAGTTTAACAACACATCCAAAACTGGAGATATGTCTAATGGATGTATTTATGACTTATTTATATGGTTCACTTGAAAATGATATTTATATGAAAATCCCAAAAGGGTTTAAGGTGCCAGAAGAACGAACTTCTAATTCTCGTGAAGTATATTTGGTAAAACTAAATAAATCTTTTTATAGATTGAAACAATCTGGCAGTATGTGTTTTAATTGTTTTAGTACATTTTTGTTGAAAGAGTGCTATAAAAATGATCCATTAAGTCCATGTGTATTCATAAAAAGATTTGGATCAGAATTTGTGATAATTGCTGTTTACGTAGATGATTTGAACATAATTGGAACTCCTGGAGAATTGGAAAATGCCACTTCTTGTTTGAAAGAAAATTTTGAAATGAAAGATCTTGGTAAAACGAAATTTTGTTTGGGTCTTCAAATTGAGCACACCAAAAATGGAGTTTTTGTACATCAATCTAGTTATCTAGAAAAGGTGCTTAAAAAGTTTTATACGGATAACTCACATCCATTGAGTACCCCAATGGTAGTAAGGCATTTAGATGCCAAAAAGGACCAGTTTCGGCCTTGTGAAAAACATGAAAAACTTCTTGGTCCCGAAGTACCATATCTTAGTGCTATTGGTGCACTGATGTATCTTGCTAATAATACGAGACCTGGTATATCTTTTGCTGTAGACTTATTAGCAAGATATAGTTCTTGCCTAACAAGAAGACATTGGAATGGAATCAAACACATTCTTCAATATCTTCGAGGTACAATGGATATGAGCTTATATTATTCAAACTCATAAAATGTAAAGTTAATTAGTTATCCAGATGCTGGATATTTATCTGATCCACACAAAGCTCGGTCCCAAACTGGTTATTTATTCACCTGTGGAGGTAACACAATTTCTTGTCATTTTGTTAAACAAACTTTAGTTACTACTTATTCTAACCATGTAGAGATTATAGCAATTTATAAGGCAAGTCATGAATGTATTTGGTTAAGAACTTTAACTAAATACGTTTGCAAGAATTTTGGTCTAAGTTCTAACAGGGATGTTCCAACCATACTATATGAAGATAATACAACTTGTATAGCTCCATTCAAGGAAGGATTTATCAAAGGAGACAGAACCAAGCGTATATCATCAAAGTTTTTTTTCACTCATGATCTCGAAAAAAAGTGTGGCATCAACATCTAGAAAATTCAATCTAGTAACAACTTTCCTGATTGGTTTACTAAAGCACTTCCTAAATCGAAATTTGAAAAGATGGTACGAAACATTGTTATGCGGTGCTTCAAGAAAATCAACTGATGTGCTAATCAAGGGGAGTTGGAAACATATTGTACTCTTTTCCTTAGTTATGTTTTTCCCACTGGGTTTTCTTAACAAGGTTTTTAACGAGGCAATTGTTTCCAATATCTATTATTAATTATGTACTCTTTTTCCTTAATAAAGGGTTTTTCCCATGAGGTTTTACCGATTAAGGTTTTAACGAGGCATGATATAATCGTCATTCAAGGGGGAGTGTTATAAAATATTATTTGGTGAATGACTATTGGATTCTCCATATTCCCCCATTACTCTTCATAATTAGTGAACATTATAGCAAACATTATTATGAGTTTTATGAGTGTAGTTATGCATCACTATAATGAGCATTCATATCATACATCACGTTTCATCTTCTTTGTCTAGTATAAATAGTGAATATTATGTATTGTAAAGTTTGATGATTTGATCACAAGTATTGGAATAAAAGTTCTCTCTACTCTCATGTCTTTCTTTACTCTATAATTTATCTTGTTATTTGATAATATTTTATAACAGTTCGGACCCTTTAAGTTTCTCCCTGTTAGATTGATGTTCCATTTAGAATTTACTTTTTTTATGATTAAAATAGAAAGTATTATAATTTTTTTGACTTATTGACTTATGATCAACATGTGGGGCTGCTATATGAATTGATCTCGGATGAGAGATCCGTTATTTTAATTAAAGTTTCTCATATGTAAAGGAATGTTATTTTTCAACTTTTTCACTTGCAATTTTACCTTATTGTCTTGAAAATCAAACAAATTTGGCTTAATTTTGTTCAGTTTTGAATGGCTCCTACAATCCTACGCATGTATGTTGAAGCTTGCAACACTTTTTGATTTTGTGAAGGATATATGTATAGAGGATTTATAATTTTTGAATGTTGACTACATTGTATGTTTAAATTGCTTTTTTTTTTTTTTTTTGACAATTTGCAAACAAAAAAGAAATTGATTTGAGAAAACCGAATAACCTATAAACAGAAACGATTTTCATCCCTAATGGTAATTGAGAGTGAATTTAAACGTTTACAAATTTCAACCTCTTAAATTACATGCTAAAAGAAAGTAATTTAAATTTTGAGGAATTTTTTTTTTTTTGGATAATTTGTTTAGTCTTATACGAAATGGGACTCTAGCCTTGTGAACGTGTTTTTATTTTTTAACTTTCCTCACTTTTATGTCATAATTTTAAAAAACTCTTTATAAACCGAATGAACAATTTGATCAATAAATTAAATCCATACAAAAACATTAAAAAAATATCGATTTTCATAAAATAAGAATAATTTTGCAACCCAATCAGTTTGTTAAAAACATATGTCTACCAATACAAATGGATCGATAATAATATGTTCTCCCAATCCAATCAATTATTACATTTACTCATTCAATTATAACTTTAAACAACAATTTGTTCTTCATTTGATCTTTTGACACACAAAAAAAAGAGTGATGATGGTGCTTAAAGATTGGTAGAGGCTACAGCCTATTCATCAGGAAATCATGAATGATCATGCATGCTACCCTAACATTCAAGCAAGATACCTCTTCAATTGGGGTTAACCTGGTTGGTAGAGGTTATTGCCTCTTAGAGTAGAAGCCCCAGGTTTGAATTTGGGCAAAAGAGTTTCTAATTTGGAGTTATTAACATTCTAACTACCTGATCTACGTTAAAAAAAATAGATTTCTTCATCAAAAAAAATTCTTCAAAACGAAACTAATCACCGCCCATAAATTATTTGTCAAAAAAATATTTCGCTACAATGAATATTCAGTGAAAAGAATTAATTACCATATGAAACAGTCTACAACAGTCACAAAAGAAACTATCCGCCGCTTTACCATATTTTTATCCTGAACACTAATCAATGAAAGAAACTATCCGCCGCCGCCGCATCGTGCATATATATATATATATATATATATATATATATATATATATATATATATATATATATATATATATCCTGAACACTAATCAATGAAAGAAACTATCCGCCGCCGCCGCATCGTGCATATATATATATATATATATATATATATATATATATATATATATATATATATATATATATATATATATATATAGAAATGGGTTCGTATACAAATGAGATTAAGATGTGAAAAAGTAAGAACCAATAGGAAATAAGCATGTGTATAAGAGTAGTTGTTCTTTTTATTTCACACGTAATCTTTTGATATGTATAATTTTTTTAATTAAAAGGTTATAAATGTAATTTAATCTATGTAGTTATCTTTTTTGAATTTAACCGTCATTGAGGAGTGAGTAGTCGGTTTTCAAATTGAGGTAACCGTTTGTGCGTAATTGATTGAAGGTCTAAGTTTTTGTTGTTAGAAATTTTATTCAACATAATGTTTGTGTTTAAAGCATTGTTAGATGCGAAAGTGAACAGGAATAGGCAAAGTTCGCATTCGAAATTCATGAAGAAATTTACAATTGCATCACAACGAATGGTTTCCAGGAAGAAGGATTATTTAAATAAGAATGTGGTCAAAGTTGATTGCATGGTTAATTCTCGTGATCATCCTATAGAAATAGATGATGATGAAGTATCAGAAGGGAAAAAATTTCTATCTGATGAAGTTAAGAAGGAGAGTAAGTTATGATGTTTTGTTGTTAATGTTTTTCAAATTGACTTATTTTATCATTTTTTTCGGGTTGAATTTGTTATGCTTGTATGTGTAGATGATGAGAGTTCAATTGAGATTTATTCCAGTAATTCTATGAAGAAGACAATTGACATTTCATCTAGTAATTCTTGGAAGAAGAAAAAGTCAAGGAATAATGTTCGTCAGTCTGATTATAGTTCGATGAAAAAGAGAAAACATGGTTTGTTTGGTCGATTAAACTCAAAATCATCTGATTCAGAAGGTTAGTTATTATAATGTGGTTATTCTTTAAGTTTATTATTAATGTAGATTATAATTTTTTTTTGTTGGACATAATTTAGATTATGTAAGTGATTCTGATTTTGAAGTTCGGACCATTACAAGGAGCAGGAAGTTGGTTAACAAAAGTGTTAGAAAATTTAGTAAAACATTTGTCTCCGAACATGGTAAACTTAAATATAATGTTAATTATTTATTGTGTTATTTATTTATTGATTATGTTTTATTAATTTTTTTATATTATTTTACATCGTTTGTATGTTGATAATTTTGTTGTAGAGTTTTCTAGTGATTCTGATTTTGAGGATGGTTCCAGTAGTAGTGTGAAAAAGGTGGATAAGATAGCTGATAAGAAAGTTAAAAAGAAAATGGAGTTGAATTGTGCTAAAATAAAGTCATTGTATTCTCGTGTTTCTCTTCATTCTATATATGGCGTTGTGAATTCATTGAATCATAATCAAAAAGAATGTGTGAGGAGTTTGGGGTTTGGATCATTGATAGACATGAAGACTCAAAGTATTCCATCAAAATTATGTTATTTTGTTGTTGATTCGTTTGATCCTTTAGAGATGGTTATTAAAACTGAGGTTTCTAATATTTTGGTTACAAGGGAAGATGTTAATAGGGTGTTAGGTCTGCCTATGGGGGTTGATCAGTTAAATAGTGTTGATTTAAGAGGTAATGAGGAATGGTATGAAATATGGAAAGATCAATTCAAGAAGTTGTTGTCTTTAATTACTCCAAATGATATTGTGTACAAGATAATAGAACGATGTGAAGCAGATATGGTGTTTGTTGCAAATTTTATTATTCTTGTATGTACATGTTTTGGATCATGTAACAAACAAGGTGCATGCAATTTGAAGCTTCTACCGTATTTGTCTGAATCATATAAGTTAGATAAGTTTGATTGGTGTACATATGTATTAAATTGTGTAAAAGAGGAAAAGTTGATTTGGGGTAGAAGTGATATTAAGACTTTCTTCAATGGTCCTAGTGTGTTTCTAACGGTATGTCATTTAATGTTATTTGAGTAAATATTTTTAAAATATTAATAATACTTATATTCTGTTATTAATTTTTTTTTTTTGTTTTTGTAGTTGCTATATGTTGATAGGATTCAATGTAGGCAAATGTTAATGGTTAGAAGATATCCAGTAATTAATAATTGGACTTTAGAGAAGTTGAAAGTGAGAGAAATGAATGAAATTTAGAATGGAGGTTTTGGAAGACCATCTGCTACAGTGGAAAGTGTTGACGAAGTTTCTAGAGGATCAATTTTAGTAAGTAATGTTAATTGTGTATTTTTGATGGTGAACATGATTTATTTGTTTGTATGTTGATTTTTTTTTAATTTTAAGTTTTAGATATTAATTATACTTTGTTATATTTTTTATTGTTATCAGGAGTTTCATTCAGAAATGAAGTGGTGTTTAGTAGATATGTCTAAGAAAGTGGATAAAGACTTTAAAAAGCATGGAAATTTGAAAATAATAGAGTTTTATGGATTGAAGGTGAAAGAGTTATGTTCTGCATATAAAGCTTTTCGTCATAGTAATTATAAATGCGAATATGCTTTCCAGTCATGTGGAAAAAGCAGTAGTTGTGATGATAAGTCTAATGAAATTCGATATGTTGGGCAGTCTATTAACAACAGGGTTGGTGTTAATAAATATGGATCGGCAAATTCGTTTGGGAAATCTGGATTTATTGAAACTAAGTTGCCTGTGGATTGCGAGGGTGGTCATAAGGAAAAGTGTGTAGTTGAGGGTATTCCTTCTTTTAATTTAGGAATTGAGGATGATATGTATACTCCTCCAAAAGTGAATGCAGGTATTGATAGTTATGTTAGTAATAATCCTGTTTATGTTGGAATAAGTTCTGCTTCAATCAAAGGGAATGAACCTAAGTCTCATGATGAAAGTGAAAAAGTTAAAATGCTTGAGAATGATATGATTTCATCGAGACCAAAGAGAAGTCAAACGTTACCTCCAGTGCTTAGGTCTCCATTTGTTGTACGATCTGTTGAGATTGATAGTAATTTGACGAAGGAGGAGAATATCAAGTCTAATTGGCTATTCAGTTTATGTGGGAATCCAACGTAATGTGTTTGTGTATATGTATATATATTTTTATATATAAAGAATATTTAATTTAATGTTTTTTATTTTTATTTTAATAGGGATGATCTTTTTCATAGCATAAATGGACAACGTGGGGAAAGATACATGTTTGAGAGCTTATATCCGGGAGAATTTCTTTTTTCTGGGACTATTGATTGTTTTGTTGAAGTGTTGAACTATGATGAGAGAGCTAGGAATTTGGACACTCCTTCATGTTTCTTTTTCAAGACAGCAGTATTGGTACGTATAGTAATTGTTAGTTATTGTTTTTATATTTTTATGATGTTAATTAAATTGTTGGTTTGTATTTAGGATCCTGCATACATGCATAGTGAAGCATGTAAATATGATGATGTGTACGAGAATTTTAAAGAAAATGTTTTTCATTGTTTGGGAGAGTCTAAAGAACGAAGAAATTTAAAAGGAATTGATTTGGTAAGTTTAGTTTTTATTTGTAAAATTTATTTCTTTTGTGTTTATATCTTACTATGAAGTTGTTTATGTTTATGTAGGTGTTCTTTCCTGCATGTGTAAACAGTCACTATTTTGTGTTTGTTTTTTATTTTAAAAACCGCAAAGCTGTCATATTGGACAACATATTATATAGATCTTCTGAAAAACCATACCCACATCTAACTCAAAATCTGGTAAGTTTGTTTGTATTTTTTTGTTTAAATGTTTATGTATATTAATGATTTATATATATTTTTTTATAATGTATATTGAATTTTTGTTTATATGTAAATGCAGAAATATATGTTTGGTAGATATCTTCAAGACATAAAACATTTTATGGCTTTTTTAGTCATGTATGAAATGGAATTTGTTGATCAATATATGACGTGGAAAACAAGAGGTAACAGTAATGATTGTGGGATTTTTTTGATGCGTCATATGGAAACTTATAAAGGTGGTCCTTTAGCTCAATGGAGATGTGGGTTTAAAATGGAAAGTGTTGAGCAGATTTTGCAACTTAGAAATCTTCGAAGAAGATATTCTATGAAAATTTTGTTGAGTGAAGTGAATCTAATGAAAAATGAAGTTGAGCAACTTCTTGTTGATTATCAAAAGCTTTCTGCAAATGACAGGCGTTTAATGTATCATGAAGGCATTATCAACATAGCAGCTAGGTTAGCTGCTTTTGGTCCTTGATATATCTTTGTTGAAGTAAACTTCAATTCGTTATGTTTATATAGAAGTATTCATAGTAATGGTTATGAATGAGTAAGTAGAACAATTTGTTATGAAGTTTTTTAAATGTGTGTTTGTTTTTGGTTGTTTTTGTTTTGGTTGAATGTAATGTACTTCTACAAACATAAGTTTATAATAATATATGAAAAGTGTGGCTACGGTTTTTTGTTTTTGATTTTGATTGTATATGTATGATATTTTATAAAGTTAACATATTTACAATCATATATAATATTAACATATCTAAATACATAATATCTACAATTTTTAAAACCATCGTATATAAAATTTTCAGAGTAACATATCAGCAATAATATATAATATTAACATTATAACAACCACCATAGATAATATTTAAAAATATATTACAGTCCCCATTACAGTCATCCCAAAAGTTAGAGCACATAAACATATTATATAAACGTCCAAATATTCATACTAACACCATTTCCTTAAATCTAAAAACCCAAAAACCCAAAAAACCCAAATTCCCACCTTTTCACCTTGCAGCTTCATCTACTTCCCCAGAAGATTCACTTGATATTTGGTGTAATCCAAAGCTTCAATGAGTTTGTCAACATTTATCCAAAAGTTGAATTTGTCAAAAAGCATGATCCTAGCCTCCCAAACAGTAATTTTTGGATTTGATGCAACTATTGAATAAAGTTTCGTGCACAGATAACTGTTGGTTGCAAAGTTTAAAGTTTTTGGGAAGAAGTTTGTAATAGTGGTTTGATTATGCTCCAAATAAACTTGTTGAACACAAAAAAAAAAAAAAAAAAAAAAAACCTTCTGTTTTAACTTTTTTGACAAAGTTAATGAAATCATTCCAATAAGCAAGCTTGTTTAGACCAACGTCTAAGGGAGCAAATGAGACTAAAGAGTATGCATATGTTGTCGCAACATCATAACCAAAAGAACTTAAGATGCTATGAAATAGCTCTAGGGAGAAAGTTTCAACCTCGATGAAGTCTACATAGTCAATCTTGCCTCCAATGTAATCTCGATTTGGGTAGTAATGGAAACTACCTCCATGATGTAGCATCATCGTGAAGTACTTTTTGTTTTCCCGCCCTGAATGAATATTGAAAAGAAGATTATATAAGTATTAATAGTATACGATTTTAACAATAAAGAACATACCATATGTGTCGTAAAGATCAAGATAATCCGAGGTGTTTCGAACTACCCAAAGCGATGATTCAGAAGCCATCAATGTATATATATTTTTTTTCCTTAAGTTTATGTTTATGTTGAGGAGGAATATATAGCGGTAACAATCGGAGTAAGTAGAGGAGGTAATTAATTTTCTACCATCATTTGCTTGAATATAGTCTATTTTGGCGGTTGTAGGTTTAGGTAATCATGGTATCTATACATTGAAGATGATAATCCTTATCTTGATTTGAATTATTTATTTATTTATTTATTTTTGTAGTTTATCAAACTAATCGGTATATATTACCTTTTTTTTTATTAATTTGATATATAGAAAATATTTTTTTTTGTATGTTATAATGAGATGATAGTATTGTTATTATTTATAGTTTTTACATTATATTTTTAGCTTTTTTTTCTTTAAATTTTTTTAAATATAAATTATATAGTTAGTATTATATGAAAATGTTTTTATGTTAAAGAATTGTTTGTATTTATTGTAATTAAGTTGATTTGACTTCTCTATTTATGAATATATTTTAGTAATAAATGAATGATTTTATTAGGTTATATAGTATTATATATTTCCGAAGATTAGTTGCGTGTATGTACATGTGTAAAATATAAAGTTTCTAATAGATGAAAAGTTTTTTATGTGAAAGGGTTGTATGTATTTATTGTATTTAAGTCGATTTGACTTCTCTATTTATTAATATTAATTTTTTTTTTGTAATTGTTAATTTTGAATAGATTTAAGTAATAAATGAAAGATTTTATTAGGTAATAAAGTATTATATATTTCGGAAGATTAGTTACATATATATATATATATATACATGTGTAATATCTAATATTATATTTTTCAATCGCATTAGAGATAATATTTTTAATTAAAATGATTCTGAATATGTAGTTGATGATTTGAAATAGTCTTAACATATATTTCGGAAGATTAGTGGCATATATATGTGTAAGTTATAACTAAAAATATATATTGTAACGCCCCGTTTATTTAAATAAATTAGTAAATGTGAGTCCCGGACTAATTTGTGAAGAATTTTAGAAGTCGGAGTTAAAAGAGTAAGTTCGTGATTAAATTGAAAAGATTTGAAGGTTGAAGGGTTTATTGGTAATTTAGGGAGTTATTATGAAAGAAATTTATGGGATCAAGGATTAAAATGTACGTTTTGGAGTTAGTTTGTAAAGATTTCTGAAGGTAGCGTTAAAAGCGTAAATTATGAACTTATTTTGAAAGAAAAGAAGGAAGGAGGGATCGATTATATTAATATGGGAATGTGTTTTAAGGCACCAGGTATATAAGTGATATGTGAACCCTAACCCTACTTGTGTATCGGCCGCCACTCATGTCTTCAGCCGCCAACATCCCGTTCTCCCCTCTTGCACTCCGATCAGGTGAAGCTCCGATGATCACCGCAACTGAAGCCTTAGACTCCGAGAGTCGGCGTTCCATCTTACTGCCGATGACGACGCCATTGCCACTGTTTCATCGCCATAACCCGCTACCGATGAAGTCTTAAACAACTATCGAAGACCAACAGGAGTGTTGTCGTCGCTGCACAGCCTTTGTGAAGAAGATGAAGCCACCACCGGATGCCGCATCCACAGCAACATCGATGGCCCTTGTGCCGTCCACTTTTGATGTGGGCATTGCTTCGTTCCAAGATGGTCTCCACTCGTCCTCCTTGCCCCTTCTTCTCTCTAGTTCGTTGCTGCAACGCCGATGAGCCACTTGAGTTGCTGCTGCCTTTACTAAACGCTACCAGGTGGGTGGCTCGGTGCGTCTTGCAATCAGAATCGTAAGGGTGTGTTACTTCTTGTTCAGATTAGCTTGCAAAGCTATTGTTGATTATGTTTGTTGTGTGGGCGTGACAGTTTAGCCGGAGATCGAGAGAAAACCCACCATGGCCGCCGACCATGGTGGTTGTTGCCCTGAAACCACTTTCTGCCACCACAAGCCACCGTGAGGTGGTGGCTGTGTGAGTAGATCCTTGTGTGAGTGTTTTTTTTAGAAGTTGTTTGCAAAGTACACGGCCGAAAAAGTTGAGAAAAGGGCCACCACCACCACCCTGAGGTGGTGGCTGTCGCCAAGCGCCACCGCCTGTGACAACCGTCATATTCGGGTCAATTTGTGACAATCGTCAATCTTGAGTCAAGTCAGGTCATCAAGTCAAGCCGGTCAACTCTATTAAACCTTGTGTATTAGGTCGATGAATTGATAAAGCATGAACATATGAGTTTTTGATTCGCAATTGGATTGATGATTGAGGGATGATTCATGAAGAAAAACGCGAAGTCAAGGACTATGAAATTGTTGGTTGCAAGAATTTAAAAACTCGATTGTGGAGTTGTTGATGCTCATTTTGCGAAGGTAAAACAATCGAGTGTTCGCATCTATGAATCAATTTGAAGTCGATTGGGTTAATATTCGCATATGGGTTCAACATATGAAAATTTTGATTTCGCAAGTTTAGAGTTCAAGAACTAAACTGTGTTCGCATCTGGAATGAAAAATTTTGTGAATCGCATTTGATTAATTAGGTTAAAATGCGAAGGGATGCGAAGGGTGTAAGAATGAAAATGCGAAGGTGATTAATGCGAAGGGATGTGAAGGGTGTAAGAATGAAAATGCGAAGGTGATAAATGCGAAGGGATGCGAAGGGTGTAAGAATGAAAATGCGAAGGTGATTAATGCGAAGGGATGCGAAGGGTGTAAGAATGAAAATGCGAAGGTGATTAATGCGAAGGGATGCGAAGGGTGTAAGAATGAAAATGCGAAGGTGATTAATGCGAAGGGATGCGAAGGGTGTAAGAATGAAAATGCGAAGGTGATTAATGCGAAGGGATGCGAAGGGTGTAAGAATGAAAATGCGAAGGTGATTAATGCGAAGGGATGCGAAGGGTGTAAGAATGAAAATGCGAAGGTGATTAATGCGAAGGGATGCGAAGGGTGTAAGAATGAAGATGCGAAGTATTTCACAGTAGAATGCGAATTGGGGAAGAAAACAGAAGATTTCAAATATTGTCCCTGGAGTTTCGCATTTTTGGAAATAAATACTCAACTTCGCAAATGGGGGTCATAAAATGATGAAATTGCAGAATTTTTAAAGAGATGCACACACATAGACAACCACACATATATTTAGAAAATTAGACTATTATAAGACATTGTTCGTGACTTTTGAGTCCAAAGACGTATGATCACAAGCAACCACCCCACACCCACTCTATGACCAGCCATACCTCCCCACCTTACCTATGTCACTTCAATGTTCCCTTACACTCAAATTTCACCACTCCCACGTTTTTGAGCTGGAACAATCAACCACACTCCTCATTTTCTCTCATTTCTCTCATTCCACTAAGTAACAAACATCACTTTTTCTCTCAAACTTTTCTACACAAATTTTCGAGATCCAAGGCTGGATTCAAGTGTTCTTCCACACTTAGTAAGTAAAAATTCATCCTCCCTATTATTATTTCACTTCATTCTACTCAAATCTTTGGTTGCTTACACAAACTCCCTAACTATGATGTTAGATTCTCGAAAACCTTCAAGGCATCTCCAAGTGTTCTTGAATTAAACACTTCCATTCTTCAACAATCATCTACTGAAATCACTCAAGGTGAGTTCATACCCCTACATTTTCATGATTTCTCAAGTTTTCAGGGGGGGGAATACAAGTTAAAACACTAAGAATATAACTAGATTTTTCTAACAGCCTTCATCAGAAAAGTTCAACTCCATTCACGGACTGTCTTGGGCATCTTAAACATTTTTGTTTTCAAAACTGTACAAGGTGCAAATAGTTCGAGTTTTTAGCTTTAAAATGGCTACTTGCACATCTCCATACGATTTTTCTACAATTTATGGTGATTTTTACAAAACTGCCTATCATTTCAAACAACAATCCGGACCAGTCTGTGATTTTGGACTTTTTCACCCAAGTTAGAGGTCATTATAAATTGAGATAAAATTTATGAGCAAACTAGACACATTTTGTGAACTCTCAAAATTTACGGATCTAGTTTTCGACTTCGTATGATTTTTCTATGATTTTTCCAAATACAGGGCAGAATGGCTAAAGTTAGCCAACAGCATGTAAATATCATAACACTTTGTATTATGTTGAGCAAAGTGTATAATCATAAGTTCTAATATTTGAATGTGTTTCCATGTTAGTTTATCATTATGAACTGGAATTAAGACATTCATATTAAATATTAAATATTATTCATTCATTTTGGAACACGTATTATTAGACTATAAGAGGTATAGTTTGATAAATTCACAATACTAATATATTTTCATAAAAGAATTCATACATATTACAAACATTTTAGATAAACTATAACAGGTATAGTTTATGATATATCACTCTACGCACTCGTACAAGAAGGGTACATTCATACAAGAAAGATTTCTATTCGCACACATTTCACGAAAGTTAATCTATGTTTTGATAAATTCACAACACTAGTTACATTTCCATAAAAAGGGTTCATACATAGTACATACATTTTAGATAAACTATAATAGGTATAGTTTATGATACATCACTCTACGCACTCGTACAAGAAAGGTACATTCATACAAGAAATATTTATATTCACAAACATTTAACGTAAACTTGTTATCCTATATTGTGAGTTTCTCTATTTTTTTTCGATCTCTATCTCTCTATCTCCCCGTACGTCCGAGTGCGGGATATAATTCCTGGTAGTTATAATCAGAATCTCCTTGAGGGAGAACGTGATACTTGTATATAGATCTATATTGGGATTGACACCCCACACCTTGCTGCTAGCTACAGTTGGACCTGCAGGTCTACGGGTGACAAATGTCATTTCATTTTTCGCGACACTGAGAACGTCGTGGCAGGTTCACATAGTCATAGTATGATTATAACGGCTCACATAGGGAACAATCCATAAGTTTACGGGATTTTATTTTTAAAACCTAAATGAGTTTTATGTCGATTTAAAATCACCTTTTATCTCTATGGGTACAAATACAAAGTACCGGGTCTCTATACAAAAAGGGGTACAAATACAAAGTGCCGGGTCTCTATACAAAGCTATTATGATATTAAAACTACACTTCCTCTAAAATTGTTAGACTTCAACTATAGTCGCTGAGCGTATATGTTGAGTCATATAAGAATTTAGTCTTGATTGGCCTAGAATTGGTGGTGCCCGCCTCATCTCCTGTTCCTCGTTGGGTTGTGGACCTAGGGCAGACCCACTATATTCAACGTTTTATCTAAGTTAAGCCTTATATAACTTTATATGTTGGACGATTATAGAGGAACTCTACGGATTACTCTAGGGTTCATTACAGCATCATGTAGGATTATTTCTATTCATACTTAACTAAGAAAATATTGGATTTTCTGGAAATCAAACTAAATCGATTTTACAAGGAAAAACGGTTTCTACTTCAAACAAAACTCTTATGAACTCACCAACCTTTGTGTTGACACTCTTTTAAAACTACTTGTATTCTCAGGAAATCAGTGAAACAGGAAAACTTCATCGCTTTGAGGATGGGACGCTAAACCGTCAACAATTTATTTTGTCATCATAATGTAATTGCTTTTGAAACATGTAAACATATACTTTGGTGTAACTTTTGCAATTATATTTATGGTGGTTGTTTTTACTTTGAGCACTATTATACACGTTGTTGTGATACTGTACATGAAGTCCTCCACCCCCAGACGTTTCCGCCATCCTTGGTTTGGGGGTGTGACAGATTGGTATCAGAGCATTGTTTATAGTGAACTAAGTATATCGAACCACATAAGATATACAAACTATAAATGCATTGGGACTAAGGTCTCTGATTTTAAGATTTCAAAACCACTATACCTTTAAGAATAAATAACTTTTGTTAAAAGTATACATGCATGCATACATACTAAGGTCAGCATCAATTTAGGACAAAACAAAAGTAATGATTGTTGGATATCACAGTTAAGCCTGGGGATGTATGATCAGTCTTGGGAATAGCATAGCCTGATCAACTATGCTGGTCCGAGGAGTGATTAGCATATGCCCAAGAATGGTTGTGATGTGGCAACAAGTCTAAAAACTTACCAACACTACCACAATGAATACCATAGGGGTATTTTGGCATTATTAAAATTACATCTGCGAGAACTAAATAGATCTTTATCAATAGGTCAATAGTTGCTTAGTGGATACATTAAAATTTTATGTATCCAGGACGTCATAGACTTAGAATCTGTGAATCTTTGCTCTACTTCCTGTTCTCGTTGGATTGGGGATTTAGAGTTAGGGTCGCTTATTCGAAGGTCTATCCTGTCCCGAATACATATAATTAGTATGCACTAAACAATTTGTTGAAGTACCTGATAAAGATCATCGTATAATTAGCCAATTAGTACTTTTGCTTAATTATTTCTTATATCCCCATTTCTCGCGAAGATA